AGATTATTGATTTTGGTTAAATAAATCGTACATTTCAAAGCAATTTTTATTTATTTTGGAGATAAATAAATCTAATTTGTGGAAAGTGAAGTATAACGAGGTCTCCAAAGTGAAGTGAAAAACTCTAATTGAAGTGACAGCGGCAGCACTTGCGCCAACGCCAGTTATTGCTGATATGCCCAAAGAGCAGCAACAATTAGAAAAACCACTCATGAACACGGTTGCCACTGTTGGTTGTTTCCAACCAAACTTGGTTGTTTACAAAAAGGATTATTGCATACTGAATGCCAAAAATTAATAAATGAATTTTTCAAACTTCTATTTTTGATGTAAGATCTCAGTCAGCAAAATATTCGTATATGTATCCGAAAATGGAAACCACTTCGCATAAAACCCTGATGTGTCATCCGTTTTCCGATTCCGCTTTCGGTCGTTTTCCGGATCCATTCTCCAACTAAAGTGTTAATCGGAAACATAGTATGTGCAGGAAACTATAGAAAATGGTTGCGAAACGGATGCGCTTTCGGCTGTTTTCCTCAAAATTGTCTGACTCGATTTTTCCTTGAAAACGAATTCATTCTGCACTTCACAGAAACTTTTTCATACTTACGGGAAACCAAACAAAAAACAATTTTAAGATTCAGCAATTATTTAAATTTTAATAAATACTTTTTATATGTATAATTTTATTTGTTGCTTCTGACGGCATTCGAACCTGGGACCTCCTGAAGGCTAACAAATACCCAACGGACCTGAAAAAAGTAAAAAAAAAATTGTTTAATTTCTAATACTCAGAAGTACATAAAAAACATTTTTAGTAGTTACATAAAATATTTTCTTTTGAAAAAAAGATACTTTATGTACAAACATGTATGTATGTATTTTCATGTGTATACCATATAGAAAAGAAGTACACTCCACTATAACCATCAAATGGTTTAGAAAAACCAAATTTTTTTATTAAAAGAGCACTCACTAAGGGCACACAATATTAAAATACAATGAAGTGTGAAATTAAGAAGGGAGCGCTTTGGCGTTGGCGTTTGTTTGACAGAACGCACGTTAAAAGTATGCTTGCTACAATGAACGCTTGGCAGTCAATGCTTTGATCATATCAATAATTGCATGAAAACCCATATTCCTTGCCCACATTTGATTAAAAATTAAAAATATTTCACGTATTTGCAACAACTGATTGACAACGCGCTCAAAAAGATGAGAGATGTCCATCATTTTTGTGTGCGTTAACTTTGGCATTGGCGTTGCCGTTGATATGTGGGCATGCCCATATAATTGTGTGTATGCATAGTCAGCTGTTAATAGGGACACGATATCGAACCGAAAGTGTCGATATGGTACTCATTTAAAGTGTAGTGGTTAGAAGTGCGCAACCCTTGAAAATGAAAAACAGCTTCCCATAAAATACAATCGCCGTTCAGAGTCGACATAAAACTGTAGGCACCCCCTTTGTGCCACAACATTAAGGCCCACGCGACAAATCAGAGGAGAAGTTCGGCCAAACACTAACATATTGTGTAAGCGCCGGACTTTATTATTATTACAACACGTAGAGATTGAGGTGTTGACTTAAACATTAATTACCGTTTAAAAATGTTCGTATTTAAATCCAGCGAAAAGTCTTAACCAAATGGATTTTCCATTATACATACGCTACGTACATATAATGGAAATATTCAATTCAAATACTCCCGTACTAAAATGAAGCATTTTTCACTACACGGATGGCGTTTTGCACGTCTCGGATGCTTTTTCATATGTAATTAAGAAGGTATATGTATACAAAGCATGCACAGCGGTGACAACACATACACACATACATGGTATGACATAATGCACTAATCGCATTAATTAATTAATTAATTAATTTTTTTTCTTCTTAATTACGAAAAAGCATCTGTGCACTTCACAACCACATATTTTATAACGTATATACTCAAATTTAATACGAGTTGGGTTTGTGCTCTTTCACATGCGTATTTTTTTTCAATTTAGCACGTTTTTTTTTTATTCTAAAATTTTTTCCCTCAGTGTTGGAATGTGTGTTTATGACATTCGATACGATACTAGGGTTCTGATACTCGATTCCAAAAAATATCGTTTTAAAACTATCGAGTAGAAAATATCGGTATCGAATGCCAAAAGTATCGATATGGTATCGTATCGTATCGAAATTCGTGTCCCTAGCTGTTAGTACCAATGCGAAAGTACCGGCCTTTACTACTGAATATGGAGCGTTCCAATAGCACTCATGGAGCGCTTCTTGTCCCGTGGGGCAGTAGCACGCACCTTTACACACTCAGCTACTGGCGAATACGTATCCATGTTTTCAAATGCTCAGTTTGAATAAATATTTTAAAATTAATGTTTTGAAATAACATGATGACATTTTTCAGATGCGAAAAATGAAAAAAATGGAAATCGTTTTCTGAACGTTTCCAGATACGACAAATGTATGAAAACCGCACTGTCGGCATAAAGTACGTTTCTGTGCTGGCTGGGATGTGGATATAAAATATGTACATATAAAAAGTAAATATGTGATTGAACACATATGTAAGTATTTCAATAATTTTTGTTTTTTGTAATTAATAAATTTTGCTTTTTGTAATAGATACGTGAAAAACTAATTTGGTTGTTTTTTTCAATTTGGTTTTTTTTCCGATATTGGTTGGTTATTTTCTTAACAAGTGACAACCGTGCTCGTGAGTACTACACGCAGCCGTACATCGGCTGTGTTGTTAAGCGCATTGTGTTTGCTTGGACTAGATTTGTAATTGTCTTCATCTTGGTATGCCACTTGCTTTTTTTTGGTGCTAGTATGTTGAGGTACTCTTATACAGACTTGTTCATTTTCATTTATACTCCGGTTTCTGCTTAGTTATCTCTTTGCTCTGTAGATTCATATGGTTATTTGTTGCTGCTGCTACAGAGCAGTGTGACCGTGGACTTTGAAAAATTGTAGCAAAGAAGAGACTTAAAATGTATCAATATGTATGTATCACTCTTTTTTCAGTATCAAAGGTACACGAATCAGTTGTACTTTGTGCTAGTATAATAATAATAACGAAAATGTCTCACATGTAGAGTTCTACTGGGTATTAGTATAATAAAAACGCAAAAAGGTTTAGATATAATCTTATTTTTAGTTTAAATACTTTTTTTTACTTATAGGACTCAGAAGTCAAATTTTTTAATAATTTTTAAGGCATTTCGGAAAAAAATTGCTTTCCACCATTGACAAGGTGACTTTGTTCTATTTGTTTTGATCAATTTCAGATCTGAGAAAATGCTACACTGCTACAGAGAGATCAAATTCAGATCTGAGAGAATGCTTTCTGCAGCGGCAGAGCTGTGCGGCAAACATAAAAAGTTAAAAATAAAAGAAGTTAGTTCGAAATATAAAAAGTTATTTGTACACCTTGCTTTAGCGATAACCAGCGATTGTTTGACACTCGAAAAATGTTATGATTTTTAACACCAACGTAGTTTTGAAACTCGGCAAATTCATCCACCCTTTTAGCACTATGTGCAAAGAAATTGTAAACATCTCTGGCAAGTTTTTCGACACACGATTACACGATTGCAAAAGTATCAAAATTTAAAACGAAGTGCCCCTCCAAAATTAATCTTAAGATGTATCACTTTTGATCCACTTGGTTCAAAACGGTCACACTGCTACAGACTTCCAC